CGTGAGGAAACCTGCATGTCTGACAGAACCTAGCAAGTTTTCGAAAGACATGTGAAGTCCGCCAACCCGCACTTGGCCAGCGTGGTGGACTATGGCCTGATCCCCCTCGTATTGAAGGGCCCACCCCTAGCAGTGGGACATTAAAAAAAAGGGCTGAATACACACATACACACTCTTGAATAAAACCGTAATAGCCTTTATGATAGTAATAGAAACATTTAGGTCAATTGTCTCACTTTGAATTTTAATTTTTGTTTTTTTTTTGTTTGTTTATTGAGATACCAATTGATCGACTTTAGAAGAATAATACATTTTTTGTTTTTTTTTTAAGTTTGAATAAAGTAATTACTATTATATATAGTTTTATAAATAATACTGTATTGTGAATATTATTTACTAGTGCCTCACTCTCAATTCGCTCCAGGTTCGTCCCTAGACAGAAACAAATCTATCCTACCGGAACCGTACATATTTCCAGGATAAAAAGTAGCCTATGTGCTAATATAAAATCTATCTATGTGCCAAATTTTATCAAGATCCGTTCAGTCGGTTCTGGCGTGAAAGAGTAACAAACAAACATTCATCCATCCATCCTTCCAAACTTTCACATTTATGATATTAGTATAGACTAGCGACTTACTCTCGCTTTGCTCGGGTGCGCCCCTAGGGACATTTTAATTTTTTTGGGCGGAACCCTATTTTTTTCTCAAATAAAAGTAGCTTAAGTTACTCCTTATAACATCAGCTATCTGCCAGTGAAAGTACCGTCAAAATCAGTCCAACCGTTTCGGAGATTAGCCGGAACAAACAGACAGACAAAAAATTTAAAAAATGTGTTTTACTCATAAGTATAGTATATAATTTCATATGCATTTAGTAAAAAGCTATTATTTTGACAATACAAACAGACACTTCTGTATATATATATGGATTAGTATAGATAATATTAGTGAACATTTTATTTTAAACTTTACTATAGGTCATAAATCCATAAACATATTGCCTCTAATCTGATTATACACAATGTAATTGAAAAAAATAAACTATAGCTCCCATATCATCTTATTTATATTTTTGTATAATTTATGCGTACATAGTTTATACTAAAAGTTATGTAACAGTTTGGAAGTGCATCGAAATATAGACAACAATAGCGGCAGCAGGTGGCCGTGGCGCGTGCGACGACCGTTTATTTTTTTAAGAAACAAAAAGGGGCCAAAGATCTACCATGCATGCCAGTGCTTCATGGTGTGTAACAGCCTTAATTATAAATTAAAAAAAAAATATTTCCAAAATATTATGATCCTTTAAATTAAAGTAATCGATAATAATAATCCAATTATCTGATAAAATATACACACAATCACTTGTTGTTTTGATCAATAGCGTTTTTTTAAGATAAGATTGTAAACAAAATTTTACCAAAAAAAAATGTAATAAGAAAAAGCTTCACAAGACATAAAATGTGCAGAAAATGACATAATCATCTTAAGACAATAGGGTATTCAAAGAAAAACATGGGTTTACTTATTTACGAAAACAATAGAACAGGATTCGAATTTAATGTTTAAATAGTAGCCTCTACTTTTCGTGTCATTTTCTAAAACATTATTTTAACTTTAGCAATTAAATTTAAGTATTATATACCTATTTAATATTTTAAGCACAAATACTATACATAAACTTCAAAATAAGTATTAAAAATAATCATTAAAATATATGTATCATAGACTTTGTTTATTTACTTACGTTAATTTAATTAAGTATATTGTTTTAACTTTAAATCACTGTACAAAACAAAGTTTTTACGATAACACAGCACAGTTAGCTATAAAGTATAAACACAACACATCCTCTCGTAACAAAATTACGCGCGCTACTGGTCTGACTGGCGCGCGATTGGCGTTTACAGACTGACAGAAGGATGGAACTGAAACTTAGCGCTAAAGTAAAGGATATTATGTGTAAAGTGACATATTGGAAGGAAGTAAAATTATTCAAGATTTTTAAATGTAGACGAAATTAAAGAATTGAGTTGAAGATTAAAAATAATCTTAAAAATTATATAAATTATTAATTAACTAATAAAATAATAAAATTATAAATCCGTTAAAGTTTTGATTCACTTGTTGTAATTACGTTGTTTTTTCTAATGGAAATCTTTACTATTTGCATTGTGTATGTTGCAAGAAATATGATAATTCATCTCAATTCTCCTTAAATTCATATTAATAATAAAGTACATACATATAATATTGTTTTAACAACAACAAACATTTCAAAATGTGTTGGTTAGTAAGAGCTTTAATATAAATGTACGTCTATTTTGTAACTAAAACTATGCTTATATTTTAAATTTTTAGATTTAAAATCATTATAATATATGTATATGAAATGTATATTATTTATACATTCAGTGAATGAATAACAGGATAACAGGCGCCAAAGTTGATCAGTAATACTAAGGGTATCCATAGCAGCTGTACGACCTATTGTCACTTGTAAAACATGTATTGTATTTTAAAAAACAATTTAAACCTTAAACACATAGATTTAAAACTCAAAATGGTATATATTTCTTACAATCTTGTGTATAGTTATGTTATTATTAATCGGAAACCACGATTTTATTGGGGTCCTATTGTAATGAATCTTTTTGTACGCAACCTTTTTTAGTATTAGGTTCAAATAATTTATAATAAATTGTGGTAATATTAACGATTCACTCCGTCCATGCTATATGAATTGCCTACTAATAGTCATCATATAATAAGTAAAGTATTTCCGTGAATAGTAAATTTAATAAAATATATTTTAATTTCAAAGTCGACTCTGCCTAGTTGTCGCCCTCATGCTGCACAAATTTGATGGTTCGTTATGAATATCGGATGGCAAAGTTTTATCACCTGAAGCTCTGTGAAGTTTGCTAAGCAACGTATGAGATATACTGACGACCTAGGAGTGGTGACGTTACCATATATCTCACCGGGAAAGTAGGTAATTAAAAAGGCTTTTATCGGTCTTAGAGATTGAATTGCCTCTTAAAATCTGGCAACTAATATCATAAGAAATAAAAAAGTTTAGAACAATGATGAGTACAAGTGATAAGGTGGTTTACCCTTAATCGTATTTGGTACCTCGCACTATTAGCCAGAAATATTTTAAGAAAGCCGAAATACTCTTCAGATGTGGGTGGCCAAGCTCCGAGTAATTCTACTGGTGCAAAAACCAAAAAAACCTCATCTGTTGTTTCTAATGGCTTTCAAATATGAAAGTGTTACGCTACACTGCCACAGCCTATCATAGCGAGCCAATCGAACCAGCCAATCCAAGCCATGCCAAGCCACCACTACAGCTACCGGATGCCTCCGGTGGTGGTAAAGCTATATAATGCCCCGCAAGCTCATTTTGACAAGTTTTGACAACATTGTTAAGTTGATAAGTCGAAACTCTGTCCGTTTGTTCAAATATAATCAGTTCAAGTACTTGTCTTTTTTTAATACATTCTGCTTCAAAAGTTAAAAGAATGAGGAGTGCATTTGTCTCAGATCACACAGATTGTGCATTCTTGGGTAATTGCTTAATCTCAATGGGAATGGTCATCATAACCTTAGGTTATTTAGGTAGGTTAGGAATAGAATAGAATAGAATATCTTTTGGATCCTGACCTCATTATAAACACGGTATAGGGGGATCAATCGTTACCTACTAGCCAGGCGCGAAACTAAGAAACGCACTGAGAAGCGGCTCATCTCGGAGGGCATGTTGCTCCTGGTACTTCTCTGATAGCACAGTGGACCGTAGGAGCAACCCCATGGTTGTTGTGGTCTGTTTCCTCAAGCCTGCAGCTGGGCAGCGTGGTTCAGAGCATAAGCTATTCTGCGATGCCCCATTAAGGCGGGAGAGGTTCAGTTGGGTTTAAGTGGGTAGTACTTTACCCGTGAGTCCCACATAACCAATTGTATGCATGTTGGTGGTATACGTAAATGCATTTCCCAACGTTAAAAATAAAAAGAGGGATCAATAGTTGCTGATCAGACAGACCTTAGATCCCGGCCCTGATACTAAAATTGCAAAAGATTTTAGGTATACATAATACTGTACCAATAATAATAGAGGATCTAAAATAAATAAAAAATCATTACGAAAAATCTACTAGAGATCCTTAAAATATTTTCTAAAAAATGAGAGCAATTTTGATTCAATATAAAAACTTAAAAAAAAAACAATAAAAACCGACTTTCAGGCACTAAAATGTAAAAAATAACTAAACGGAGATATTCATTTAGAATAGATACCTAATCAGATATTTTCAAAGTACATTTTAGTGCCTGGAAGTCGGTTTTTTTAAGTTTTTATTTTTCCATCTTTAGTGTAGACGTAATAAGCAGGTAATTTGTGAGAAGAAAGTTTTTTAATAGCATATTCGACTGAACAATTTATTTAAAAAATATATTTATTGTTGATTCTTTTAAAAACCGCTCGACCGATTTCGATAAAATTTATATGGGATCACCTGGGAAGTATACCCTTTAAAACAAAAAAATATATTTCCAAATTAGTTCAGGCGTTTTCGAGTAATAAGTGAACACATATAAATAAAAAGAAAAAAAAAGATTCTGATGAATTGATAACCTCCTCCTTTTTGGAAGTAGGTTAATAATGTCAATGATGAATCTTTTCTTCATAAAGAGACATTATATATAGTTTGCTTTCTCTGATTATTGATATGATTCATATATAGTTTGCTTTCTCTGATTATTTTTCATTTACGAGGCATCAAGGAATTAGAAATATTACTAAATGTTAAATGCTGTAATCGTTTTTATTTTATCGTCATTATTTTTTTCAAATATATGCATATACATAATAATTATTATTGTACAATTATCTTTAAAAATTTTATCTTGAACGTCGTCCTAGCCATATAGCTATATATGTGATACCATGAGATGTCAATTGTCATGTGTCAAAATGTCATCGATTCGCAAACATCAAACATGCCAGGCGCTGTTTCAGAATTTATTGACGATATTGAAGATTTAATATCTTCACAAGATATAACACCCAAGGAAAGATATGCAAGTAGGAAAAATGTGAGTGTACGGTCGAAGAAACGAGTGAACCAGGAAGTGGAGTCTGTGGAAAAGATAGTGTTAGAAAGTGTTGTACCAGGTATAACCTAAAAATTACATCATTTATTACAGTTTTTTAAATGTTAAATGCGTAAAGACAAATGATAACTCTATAAAGTCATAAAACAGCTCAGTGTCATTTACAAATAAGTCATAATTTTGAAGAAATTACTTATATTTATATTGTTATAAGTAAATATTTAATGTTATAGGAACCCAAACAATATACGTCAAGACATGGGGATGTGCACATAATAACTCAGATTCAGAGTATATGGCCGGATTATTAGCAGCTCATGGATACAAGCTGACAGAAGACAAATGGCAAGCACAACTTTGGCTCCTTAACTCTTGTACTGTAAAGAGTCCTGCAGAAGATCACTTTAAGTGAGTTTGCCACTTTAGATATACTTAATACTTTATGTATAATTTTATTGTAGTATTAATCTGCGATATTTTTTTTAATTTATAAATAATGCATAATGGTTTATAAATAAATATTAGATGTGGTGTGATATTATATATAAAATTTTTGAGATTGTCTATTTATAAATTTTCGTTTCAGGAACGAAATTGAGCTTGGTCAAAGCCGTGGCATACATGTGGTAGTTGCAGGTTGTGTACCACAAGGAGCTCCAAGAGCAAATTATTTACAAGGACTCAGTGTTGTTGGTGTCCAACAGATTGATAGGATTGTTGAAATTGTTGAAGAAACTTTAAAAGGTGATTTTCTATATTGTTTTCAAAATATTAATGTCTAAATTATTTTTATTGATAAAATGTACTGTTTGGTACTTTTAAGTTACATGCTATAGTTAAATTAATTTATTAATTATATAATTATAAATAATTTATAGGGCAAGCATTTATTTATACATAACTATTTTATAGTTATTCAAATATTATTAACAAACATATCTTGCTTAGGTCACACAGTTCGGCTGTTTGGTCAAAAGAAAACTGGAGAAGGTCGAAAAGCTGGAGGAGCTTCTCTTTTATTGCCAAAAGTGAGAAAGAACCCTCTCATAGAAATAATACCAATCAACACAGGATGCTTAAACCAATGTACATATTGTAAAACAAAACATGCAAGAGGTGAATTAGGTAGCTATCCTCCGGAAGAAATAGTTGAGAGGGCCCGACAGTCATTCAAAGAAGGAGTTTGTGAAATATGGTTGACTAGTGAAGATACTGGTAAAAATTTTTTATTTATTAATTGAATTTTCGGTACATATATAGCAAAAACAGATATAAACGAGAATAATTGCAGAAGTTAATTATTATATTTGCAGATGCTATAATTGATTTATTATTTTTGAAGTTACTTATTTCACTTAAGACTGCAATTAAAAACTAATTTTAGTAAGATACGTGAAAAAAAGGTAAAAAGTACTCATGTGTTAATTAAGTATTTAAGGTTTCTCTGCTTAGAATTTATCTCAAATTCATTGAGCCTTTAACAGTGTTAAGAATAATAAATAAACTCTCTGTAAATAATTCATGTTTACAATACCAGTGTAATATTTTCACTCAATATGACAGGATAGTTTTTATCCTGGGTGGGGAAGGGGGTAAAAAGGGATGAAAGGTTGTATTGGGAATCAATCATTTTCATGTTGTATTGGGAATCAATCATACCTAGGGACGACCGAGGCAAAGCAGAGGTGAGTTCTTAGTTTATTATATATGTAGCAACAAATCTCTTTCTCAGGAACTTATGGCAGAGATATAGGCACATCTCTACCAGAATTACTGTGGAAGTTAGTGGACGTGATACCTGAAGGTTGCCGACTAAGACTCGGTATGACCAACCCTCCATACATACTGGAGCACTTAGATGAAGTCGCTAAGATTATGCACCATCCAAGAGTTTATAAGTTAGTATATTAAATTTTCATAACAGTTTATACGGTTCTAGTCCTTGCTGTTCTTTGATGTTTTTGATTTTTTAAATAATATTAACAGAGCGAGCAAGCTATGCTTGGCGTTTTTTTGAGAAAGATATATAAATTGCTTTTTTCCAAGGTTCCTATTCCTTTGTGTTATACTCTATCTTACACTAAAAAAAAATAAGAAAAAGAAAAAAAAAATATAGAAAATGATGTAGACAAAGGTAGACTTATCTCAATAAGAGATCTCTTGCAGTAAACCCATGCATGTGGGAAATAGTGTTAAGTTCTGTCCCGCACAGAAAGAGAAAGTGCAAAGAAAAGATAACAAAATGTAGATAAACTTACAAAGCAAAACCTTATTTAAGTACAAAATTTGACTCAATTTTTTTCTCAGGCGAATTAAATTTTGTATATAAATATACAAGAATTGCACATTTAAAGTCAAGATTAGTACAGTGTTACACCAGTTGGATCTTGTATAATTAATGTTTCCTTTTTAATTAAATGTGATATAATAAAATTAAAAGGCAGTGGTAGCCCAGTGGTAACGCGTTCGCTTGGGAAATTGAGTGAAGCGGGTTCAAATTAAGGGTCTCGCACCTATGATATTTCCACGTGCGAATCATTTCTAACATGATTACCACTTGCCTTATGGCGAAGGAAAATATCGTGAGGAAACCTGCATGTCTGAGAGAACCTAACAAGTTTTCGAAAGATATGTGAAGTCCGCTAATCCGTACTTGGCCACCAGCGTGGTGGACTATGGCCTGATCCCTCTCATACGAAGGAAGGCCCGTGCCTAGCAGTGGGACGTTAAAAAGGGCTAAATAAATCTATTCTAATATTATAAAGAGGTAAAGTTTGTGAGTTTGTGTGGCTGTAGGGGGTAATCTCTGGATCTACTAAACCGATTTAGATGAAATTTGGTAAGAAGATAGTTTGAGACTGGGAAGGACATAGAATACTTTTTATCCCGGAAATCATCTCTTAAGATGAACCCGAGCGAAGCCAGGTCGCTAGTACATATCATTAATAATTTGAAATTATCAATACCAGATTCCTCCACGTGCCCGTGCAGGCGGGCAGCGACGCCGTGCTCGCCGATATGAAGCGCGAGTACACGAGGGCGGACTTCGAGCAAGTCGTGGATTTCTTAAGGGACAGGTAAGTTTATAAAATTTTGTTCACAATTTCACCTAATTCTTTTTACCTAAATACCCTAAGCTACTCCTTATAAAATTACTAACTATCTACCAGTGAATGTCGCGTCAAAATAGGTCCAGCTGTTTCTTAGATTAGCCGGAACAAACTGACAGACCGACAAACATTTTAAAGATTGTTTTTTTCTTATTAGTACTGTAATGTTACCATATATTCTATCATATGCATTTGGTAAAAAGCTGTTATTTTAACAGCACAAACGGACATTTCAATTTTATTTTCTCAGAAGGATCAGGAGCAATCAGGATTTTTAAATTTTTAAATAAATAAATATTTTTGTAATTTAATTTTTTATTACCATATCCATTTTTTAAATTTTTTAAAGGGGCCCTAAATTTTTGTGTTTTAAGACCCTGGATGGCTTAAGAAATCGGTCGAGAGAACATTACAATCTATAATGTAACTTTTCAGTTTGTTCCAATAAAGTTTTTTTTATAAATTACAACCAATTTCCAGAGTCCCCGGCATGACAATAGCAACAGATATAATCTGTGGCTTCCCAACCGAGACTGAGGAAGACTTTGAAGACACAATGACCCTCTGCAAAAAGTACAAGTTTCCCTCGCTGTTCATAAACCAGTTCTTCCCAAGACCAGGCACTCCAGCTGCTAAGATGCCCCGAGTGAGTATTGAATAGTAGATGGAATGAAAAGCGTTTTATATTGGATTGCTATGTAAATTTGAATGTATGTGTATGTAATAAATAAAAATAAATAATAAATGTTTGTACGTATGTATGTATGTGTGTTTGAAGTGGCTGAAAGGATTTAGATTATGTTTAGGATAGTACACAGATAAACTATGAGCTAGGTTACACATAGGCAGCTAAGGCCGCACTCGAGCGAATTAAGGGTTTGTCGCTAGTTAAACAATATTTAAAACGAAATTTGAATATAGTAAGAAAAAAAAAGCATCAACTTATAATTAAACTAGCCGTCATCCGCCCGCTTTGTTGGGCTTAAGTAAATGTATCTTTTGATCTTTACGAGTATATATTTTGACCATAATGTATATTTTGGTTTTTCATTTTTTAAATAAAAACTAATGAAAAAGTGTTACATATTTAGTTCTATTGGCGGGAAAAATATTTATGTAAGAATTTTTTTTGTGAAGAGTAAAAAAATTATAACCTAAAACCATCTACAGACGATGCTGTGTCGTTTTGTCAGTCCCATTACCGTTGAGTATTAAATAATATTTTTATATAATATACAATAAATAAAATATTATACTATAATTATTATAATCATCTCCAGGTAAATTTCTAAGAAATCTATTGTTAACTAACGCCGGCGTGTCCGCGGTCGTGGTGGGATTATTTTGAAAGGGTTATTGTTAGTAGATGCAAAAAACATCGATTTTGATATACTTAGTTTAGGTTAATCTCATTTCAATGAATCCATTTACTGGCTTACATTACTTATAATGTATTTATATTATTGACGACACGTTTGACTCAGTTTGTAGTGACCCTACTTGCTGTGCTAGCGGTCGCGGGTTCGAGTCCCGCTGGGGCATTCATTTGTGTGATGAGTACGATTATTTGTACTCCTGTCATGGTTATTTATAATATGTATATATTTAAAGTTATATATGTATAATGTATCAACTATCCGGTATCCATAACACAAGCCTCGTAACTTACCATGGAACTAGATGGTGTTGTGTGGTAATGTTCCAACATATTTATTTATTTATATTTATTTATACTGACAGGTTCCTGCACAAGAAGTGAAGAAAAGAACGAAACAACTCTCAGAATTTTTCAGATCTTATGAACCGTATGGACATAAAGTGAATCAAATTCAAGAAGTCCTAGTAACAGACATATCACACGATAAAAACTATTTTGTAGCACACAATGAGTTTTACGAACAAGTTTTAGTGCCTAAAGAAGAAAAGTATATGGGGAAAATGCTTACGGTGAAAATTGTTAGTGCATCCAAATTTTCCATGATGGGAGAACCCGTAGACAAACCAAAAATGCCAGGTTTGACGGAACCGTTGAAGAAGGGAGAGGTTTCAGGGTTAAGGAAAAAGAACAAACTGACCGTTCCAATGCCAATTGTTATGTTGATCTTGGCTGTGGTAATGCGGCTCATATGGATTTTCTTGTAAATAGTGTATATATCGTTATTTTATCTTAATAATAAATATTTTTATAAGTGTCAATTTATTTATTTTATTCCATAGACATAGATAGTGGGCTGAGTGTTTCTTTGAGATCCGTAAACTGAAAATGACGGAAAGGTGCGACAGAGACAAAACGAATGTGCAGCCAGAAAGCCTTCTTTATTAATTAAAATATGATTAATTTGAAGATAGGACATTTATAACCAGTGTTATCTATTACACTGTTTTATATTTTTTTAACATTGTTTTTATAAATTCAAATTGGCACAAAAGGCAGGTATTGGCCGCACATTCACTTTCTCTCTTTCTAGAGAGTGGTAAATTTCATGAGAGTATTGCCCAGTCCATTCTCTACCTGTTTTTTTTATCCTAACTTCGTATATATTCTGTGGAAGCAGTATAACTAATAAAAAGTAATATTGGATTATGGTAAATGAGCTAAAATAGGTAAAAGTAAAAATAAAAGTACCGACCGTGATGACAATGACAGCTGTAGTAATTTTCTTTTTAACCGACGGAAAAAAAGCAGGAGGTTCTCAATTCGAAACGTAAATTTTTTCTTACGTTTGACCACGCATAACTTTTACAGTTTATTACTACAGGAAAAACTCCCTCTGGAGAATACCATAACTGATTCTGAAAAATCGTATTAGAAATTTACATGGCTAAACGCTGGCTCAAACGTAAGAGATTCAACAATGTATTAGGAAATTGTCGGTGTTAAAAAGGTCTACAGAAAAGTCTGCAACAGTATATGTATATGTCCTAAAGTATACTGGCTAATGACTATATATGTCTATTTAAAACGTACCGAGGAACGAACCCGAGCGAAACGAGGGTAATTCGCTAGACGATTATATAGACAGAGTCCGCCAAAAAACCTGTTAAAGTCAAAAATAGGGTAATTTTTCTGTTTGAGCTACTATTTCGGTTTTGCCATATTAAATTAAAAAATGTTTACTTTAAAAAAACATTAACGCATACCACCAGTATATAAACAAGTGGTTAAGTGGAGACTCATTGGCCAGTAAATCCAGTACTACACACTTACATCCAACGAAACCTTCCCCGTATTATGCCGTCATAAAAAAGAAGGCCGCAACTTCGTCAAAGTTGATTTCGAGATATTTGAAGTTTTATCTTAGTACTTAGAAGTGGTTTGTACGTAGTTACGATGAAAATGGTTATGGTATCTCCTGATTCATAATACTTAAAGCTTTATGAGTAAGATATCAAGTAGCATTTTTTTTGCTGATTCTGAATCTGCATTTAAGTCATTTTTGACCAAATTGTTAGTTACGGCCTTCTTTATTATGACGACAGACTGTCGTCGCAAGATGACTTATAGGAGATACGCATTCGGACATCGGAGGTGTAATGTATGTAATTTATATTTCAACTTCAAGGTAAACCCAATTACCAAAAGACATCAAAATCAGTTCAGTCGTGTATCACATGGAAACATGACAGAACTAACCAAGCAGACTAAGAGTCGTGTGATCAGTGTATGTTTGCCATACGAATATTCTTCTTAGTTAAAACTTTAAACCAAGTTACTGATAGTCTGGCAAATCGTTATATAGGCGCTTTATAAACTGAGTATTATAAGGTGAAGCCTTTTTGTATCGTTTATGTGATTATTTTTTATTATATGGAGATTAAATATATCTCAGGTGGTTGGTTTTATTACAAATTTCAAATTTATACTATTAATTGTCTTCACATTTCGGTTCAAAACGATTTACGGCTTGGGTTTGAAACCCAAAAAAAAAATGTATTTTCCTTTTAAATTCTTAAATTACATTGCCCTATATTCAATTGTTTGGCGAAACTCATACAAAATGCTAGGTATCAGGTTTAAAACAATGCGCAACTCGACATAATTCCGCTCTAGTGGGTCCATTCACGCGATATTATATAAGATTACATCGCATCCGTCTGTCTGTCAGTGTTGGATTTGCATATGGAAGTTGAACTAAAGTGCTTCAAAGTACAGTAAAGGACTGCAGAAGAAGGATGGCGTACGCACAGCCGGGAGGTAAGAGGCAGAAGGTGAGGGAAGCTCGCGGTTCTGATAATGTTGACTATTTTCAAGGTGAGTTAAAAATTTCTTAACATTTGTTGTAATTTTAATTAGCATTCATTCATTCATTCATTATCATACATTGATTGTGTTAGAACATGTAAATAGTTTTGAAATTATTGGTTGTTTCGTGAATCCGTAGACTAAGTTAAGCTTTTTTAAAAAATTACTTTTAGAATGAAAAAATTCTGAAAAGTCTACACTAATAAATAAGTGTAGTATGCAAGTGTGCACACACTACACAATTCCTAATTCCAACAAACCAACTAAACACGCAAACGCCAAATTAATTCTCTTACATTGTCAGTAAATAACAGACATCATAGAAACAGTATAAACATCTATTAGAAATATATACAGTAGGTGATCGAATTTGATCTATCGGAAATTGCGCCAAGTGTAAGGTGTAAAAAAAATATCAATTTACAAGGCGAACGGTTTCGAACTTAAAGTGTGGTAGCTGGAAGTGCCATCTTGTGGCATGTTACGGTTATACCAATCAACCCTAACATCGTCTTCCGACTGTCATATACGTAAAATTTTGTATGATAGTCCTAGGAGCGCCTCACCCGCGTCTCACCCCACACACCCCGCACGATTTATCTACAGACTTTATAGGCTGATAAAGGGATCAAGAGCAGAATTAACCAACTTTTTACTGTTTTTGAATTAAAGACCCAATAACTCATCTGGACCGCTACATCAAAGGGTCAGGAATTTTCAAATTCAACGTGCTAAATAGTGTATATAAATGGTTTAGCTACATTATCTATAATCTATAATTTAAATATATATGCGATTAATTTATAACGAAGGAAGGTAAAGGTAGGCACTAGGCAGGCCTTCCACACAATAGCCGACGACTTGGTCTAAGTCCTTATACCCATTGGCCATTGAGGGTGCAGATGGCATAATACCAGCCATGGACATTTTTGGAGAAGGCCTATATCCAGCAGTGGAAGCCTTTCGGTTGTTATCATGATGATATAAATCATAATCCACTTTTTTCAGGCATAGAGAAAATAGATTATAATAATATGACGACCGCAACGGATGTTCACAGCTTCCGGTACTATAATTGTAGTGAACGGGTTCACTCCCGGAGTATGGAGGACTGGCTCAAGTATAGTGTGTCGCTAACAGAGTTCAGGAGTAATGGTGGGTAATTGTAATTAAGTTTTATAAATATAAAAAAAATATCTGTCTAATTATGACATTTTTACGTTCAAACTTCATTCGCAGTGATCGCAATACTTATTTTTTTATTGATTTAATTTTAGGATCGGACAGTCAGGGCAGACCAACATTCAATCGTTCATGGGACGATCATTCGAATACTATGGACAATCACAAACGCTGTATTAAAGCCTTCTACGATTTTTGCACTAAGCTAGGTGTCAAGTACTGGACCGCTTTTGATACAGATTTAGTACCTCAGACAGATAGTTGGGAGGAAAATAAATCGAATTGGGATGAAATCGTTGAATTCATAAACGAAAGTTCACAGAGGAGCCAAATGAAATTATTGTGGCTAGCACCTGATCTACACTCGCATCCTAGGTACCTACTGATATTCTGATCATTTTTCTATTTTTTTAATAAGATATATTTAGATTTTAAATAATTTACCGTTTTTCTAAAACGTTTCCTGAACACATTTCCATATTTTTTTTGTTTTGTTACTGATTTTGTAAGACATGAGAAAATATTAGAAAAAGTTATGTAAGTATACTTTTGCATATAATATTTTCCAGGTATTCTACCGGTGCTTTCACAAGCAATGAGGCCTCAACATTTGTACAAGCTGCGACACAGATAAAAAAATGTGTTGAAATGTCCCAACGTTTAAATGCCGAGTGTTTTCTTCTCTGGCCTTACCGAGAAGGCTATGATGCGATCTTCCAAACCGATGTTGCCAGAGAAATAAAATTATTTGCAAAACTATTAAAAATAACCGCTGAATATAAAGAAAGATTAAATTTTAGATGTCAATTACTTATTATGCCGTATTTTAGCAATTTTAGTAGGAGATACAGTGATTTTGGTTTAGCATGGCAACCCCAAAATTGGGATGGAGATATTTTGAATAGGTATATGTGGGATGTTACCAGCTGTTTGTACTTTTTGAAAAATCACAATTTAGACAAATATTATAAAGTGTGTACTCCTCCTGGACACCACATGTATATGGCTGGCGTGTAAGTAGAAACAGTATTACCATATTCTTATGTATATTTTTTTATTTTGTAAAGTTATAATTTTTTATTTCAAATTTATATTTTCCTTTTAATAATTATTACAGGTACAATATGTTCGGCGGTGTAACTGTTACGAATCGATTCGATTATTCCGATATCAAAACAACTACTTTAATGATGAAATGTATAATTGATCAAGTAAGTTTGATTTACTTGTTAGATTTTTAAGTCTACGTCTTCCATTTGTCTATCCTTCCATCAAATGCTCATATTTTTTATTAATGGGGCATCGCAGTATCACTTACGATTTATTCAACGACGCGCGTCCCGACGGCTGCCTGCCAAGGCAAACTTCCTCCCATTCTCCACAAGAACCAGAGGGTTGCTCTCACGCTCAACTCTGCTGACAGAGAGGTACCAGGAGCAACCCATAGTTTCTATGTGTCTTAGCTTCACGCTCAGTTCGATTACCGGACGCTACTGAAACCTCCCACCAGAAGGTGAACACATTCGGGGGGCAGATAGACTATAACTTTGAGTAACATAGACTTTTTCTCAAGGTCAGGCTCCAGAATCGAACCCGTTCAAAGCAAGTGTATAAAATAAAATATTTAAGCAGATTGATTTCTTTCATAAAAAGTATGATTAAAATGTCATTTTAAGGGATCATCACCTGTGGGGGGTATAAATCTGAGAATAATACCCAAGAGGGACAGTGATCTACGCGATCTATTTACCTCGTATATAAAGTATATGGATGCGTTCGCAAGAGGATTGCGGATCGCTTGCAATGTAGTTGCCGAACAAGTATTTTCAAAACATATACAGGTAGGCATTATTTTTACAAGCTTTTATTTACTTGGGCTGTATGCACTCAGCCCTTTTTTGCGTCGTCCTGATGGGTACGGGCATCCCTTCATTACGAGGGGTATCAGGTCATAGACCACCACGCTGGCCAAGTGCGGGTTGGCGGACTTCACACGTCTTTCGAAAACTTGGTACGTTCTCTCAGACATGCAGGTTTAGTCATGATATTTTCCTTCACCATAAGGCAAGTGGTAATCCTATTGGATTTCACACATGAAAATATCAAAGGTGCGAGACCCGGGGTTTGAAACGGTACCGACCTTAGAGTAATTTTAAGATTATAAATAAATCGTGTATAAGATTTCTTTATGTTATCATGTTCGATTTATTTAAAAGCAAATTATTGTTGTTGCCAATTTTTAGGCCCTCGCTGAAGGTCGACCGTTGACAACAATATTTTTATTGGACTTAATTTCACTTTATGTAAAAAATATGTATTTATAATTAGTTTTTTATATATATTTTTTCTCCAACTAATATTATACTTGTTTAATCAATCAATTCTCTTCTCAAAGCATGCCATTATACTTGTTTACATTGTACAGAAAAAATTGTTAATTGAACACATAGTCCCAATGGTTTTGTTGCAGCAACGCTACTCTTCGTATTATAGCGGGTTCGGATCTCGTGTTGTGAGCGGTGACGTCACCATTGAGGAATGCGAAGAATTTTACAAGTACGTAATTCAATTTAGTGTGAAAGGAAATGTGAGGAATTATTTATGGGCTGAATTCAAGAATGGGTCAATTTTTATATTTATTCTGGCCTGGTATGATAAGTAGGTATCTTGGTGTAATTTAAATTTCAGGCCGCAAATAAAATACTTTTCGAAGGGTAAATACATATACAAATATTTTGTTTTGATATGTTATAAACAACAACGAAGAATTTCATTCCCATATTAGATTGATCGGTAGGTAAATATTAGGGATATAAAAATGTCAAATTAATTACAATTCAATTCTTTCATTATTATTTTTCATTTTTACATTTTACAATTAACTTCGCCAATATCTCGTAGAAATAAATTAATTACTTTGAAATAGAAGGGTCCTCGGAGTAAACACTAAACTTAGGTCACATATCCTAGAACAAAAACCAGCAGAAAATAATAATATTATATTATCATAATTATTGATTACACTATAAATACGTAAAATAATGTTTTTATAAATGAAAACTAAAAAAGTATCTAATATAAAGTGGACCTTTTTATTCAATTGTCTCGTTAATGGCTTCAAAGCGTGCCAGTTGAGTACAAATTACTTCACCAATGTCACGGAGAACGGAGAAGACACGAAGGAGATTGGTCGGTAAAATAAGATCATTGACCTATTTATTACATTTAAATATTTATCAAACTGACAGATGACAGTTAAAGGAATCAAATGGCGTATACTTTTTTTTTTCAGGAAAAGTCAAGGTCATGAGGTATCCTGCACAAAAGTTGAGCATTACAACATGGTGTTTCAGCGTTACCTGGATACTTGCGACCATATTTGATGTTTGAAATGACAATTTGAATCTAAAAATAGCATTATTATCTCACACTATAATAATATAAATAAATGAGAAGTCAGATATATTTATAATATAATAGTAAAATAAACAAAATCTTTCCAGCGGCAATTGTTAAAATAACAAAGTATCCATTAAAAAGACTGGATACTGAAAGTTATAATCGAGAATAGGTACATATTTTAAGCGAATTAACGTGTATAATATATCTACTACAAAGTTAAGCATTGTAAGCGTCATACGTTTATAGATATAGTTTTGAGTGATATTATTTCATTTATTCAAATTATATTTACTTTCTGATGGAGGTCCTAAACACAAATATAGGCTTTGTTATTAAGAGTTTAATACAAATAATATTTTGAACCCGATATTATGGAAGTGTAGGTAAATTATTTATTATCAATTTCAATGTTATACGAATTCAACCTCGCATTATTAGTCTGTGATACTACCAACGATATAATTATTAGTATTTTGTTTATGACAATGTATGAAATTTTATATAAACATTATTAGTTGGTATCTTAATTTTTAATTGTAGTTTAAAAATATTGATTTAATTTACATACATTAGTTGTTTTCCCACAGATTTGCTGCTTTTTACAAAATATTTACCTCTATAATACGTAATCGTCCATAGTCATATTATTATATTGATAAATTCGGGTAACATTATATTATTTAAATAATTTTAAGGTCTAATTAAGTAACTACCATTTAATTATCAAATAGATCTACATTAATAAATTCTAAACGTCTAAAATAACAGAAAATCATTTATCTCTGTAAAAATAAAAGACGTGTTGTTTTTATGATTCACTTTATTCAGATATTTGTCATTTTTTTGTTTATTTTCATATATTCACAGCGACTTAGTTACATACACTGCTTGTGCTTAACTTAGATACAAGTCGGGGGCATTATTTTATTATAATCATTCACTAGGAACGTACGATATTCAGACTTCACATTGGTAGAAACAATTATAATTATTACTTCGTCACTTGAATAGCCCAAAATTATGTTTTTGTCACAAATTCAAATTAAAATGGTTTTTAAATCATGTAATCAATCAGAAAAAAATACAGTCTTTCAGTTTATTACGCTATCAATCATTTATATATGTATGTATTATAACTTTTTATGAAATTTGTGACAAAAAAATTATTACAAAAGGCTATACATGTACCATGCATAAAGCATTTTGGGCAATAATAGGTCATGTTTTTACCAAATACATTTTATACACGTTTACAACATTTTAATCTTACAACTATATTACAACGTTAATAATAAATAAAAATTAAGCATAAATTTAAAGAATTGAGAAATATTCTTAACTTATTACTTTATTCACACTAAAAAATTTCACTATTAAATAATAAGAAGTATAAAAAAAAAAATTCTAATGTTAAACTAAAAGTACTAACTTACAATGAAGTCTAAAAACTAGAAAGTAGAAATTGTTTTTTTAAAACCAATATTCTTATATACAGAAAGATCCTAAATTATTCAGCCAAGTTTTGAATTTGGCATAAAAAAATTGTTTTAATACTGCAAATATAAATTTAAAAAAAATGACAACCAAAATGGCAGCTTGTGTCGGAATGACGTATACTATTGCTAAGTTTGTATTTGGAACACATTCGTTTAATTTCGTCATAAAAGCACCACGGTTTACTAACTATTAATTTTTATAAATAAAAAACATGGAAGCTGTTCACTGGAAAAATAGTTTACAAAAGGACTGTTATATTCAGTATTTACTTATCTTATGATAATTTATAAGTGCACGGTATTTTTTGAATTGTATTTTCGATTGATAAAGATATTGTCAAGGGAAATTATAAATATATATATTTTATTTTTAGTTTTAATTCTTGATCAACACTTTAATAAATAGTATGTGTTAAAAACTTTTTTTATTTAAGGCCAAACCACCTGTCAAATAAATATAAAGCAAATAAAATTTAATTTCAATAAATGATCTTTTAATAGTACCTAATTCATTTAAGTATTTTGACAAAACCTTATTATACGTGATAACATAAAGAATAAGTTACGACATCAATATGTATATAAAATTATGGCATTGAAGTGAGATACTCCAATTTATTAAAATTTGCCAGGAGTTAAATAAAACGTAAATTGTAACTTTTTTTGATCATGGCAATTAATTTTTTGTCATAATTTTCTAAAAAAACATATTTTCTAATGTTTTTATACAAAAATGACGTATAATTGGCATATCTGCATTATTAATATATTGAATGCGGTACATATTGCAATTATTTTGTTCAAAGTTAGGCCACTTGCGTTAGTGGCATCAAATTCAAAGGTGATGTTGACGATCATAAAAAATAATATTGTGCATAATTTGTGTTTCGAACAAAGTTCGTGAGAAGGATTTTGTGTCATTATAAGCGCGATTCTTTTAAATTCCTTATATATTGACTAATAATTTTGGGGCTCACAGCTCTGCATCAAGCAGCTATAAATAATCTTATATTTACGTACTAAAATATTAAGCGACTCATGAATTGTTGAACTACTTTGAAACTTACATAATTTTTATGCTTGTAGTATATTTTTTTTATTTTTGCTATGGACGTGTCAATATTCCAGAAGCTAAAACGATCGGCAATTTTTTTATACATTATAAAAAGTTTATACCTGTTATGAGTGGTAGTGGAGCATTTTTTTATCTGTTGTCACGTATAATTGAGACTTGACATCAGAAAAAAATGATAATATTAAGATAGTCAAAAATAATTAAGTAAAACCTTATTTCTTGAAATTACAGTTATCTTCTTTTATTTTTAAAGTATTTTTTTAATTAAACATCTCACTAACAAGTGCGTAAACCAAAACAAATGCAAGCATAGTCTTATCAAATATCAAATTTGGTAAAATGCTATATTTATAAAAAAAATGTTTATCCTTTAACCTTTACTCGGCGGCATAAAAAAAAGAAAATTAAAAACACTTTGGCGCCATTTTCGATTGACATTTGGCAAGCGTATTAAATTAGTTAAATATGTTGTAAATTATAGGAACAATGAATTATTTCTTTGGCACCACAATATTGCGGATAGAAAATAATCTCTTTTAACATTAGTAAGTACTGTCAATATGTAATTTTTATATAAACTAAACATATGACTAGATTTCATTAAATCCTAAAGTTTTGAAAAACAAAGTCATAAAACATTTGCCAAAACCGACCAGCAGTATGGTAGTAGTACTGCGCCGACCCCAAGTAATTTGGGAAATGGGCAGGAAGAAGAAGAAGAAGAACCTCTAAAGAATCTAATATTAGTAATCTTATAAGGTAACGTACCAATACTACGTCACCCGTTACAGGTCTTACGTGTTATACTCTATTCACGGAGTGAATCATGCAAAGCGCTTTCTCTGTGCGACATTGGCATACAAACTGATAAGGACAGAAAACTGTCTAGCTCCGCTAACTAACGCATGCAACTGGTTTGAAATCATAGGGCTCGTTCATGTTGCTAATGCTTAAGTGAGGAATTATTAATAATTTGTAATAAATTAAAATCAACATTAAAGTAAAATTAACTGTATTTTTAAATATTTGTATACATTATTTATTAATTTTCGCTTTCCGACGTATCACTGTCATCGCCTCCATTGATAATAATTCAGGTAACTACACGAGAGACGTCTGAATGGCGCGGAATGCAACGACGGACTACTTATGACTTACATTGTAATCGCGGCCTGAGCGTCTTATCTGCAACTAATCACATGGAAGCGCAAAATCTCAGTGCTTGGTTCATTCCGCGAATACAGTATATCAGTAGTTCATATCCTCTAGTGAAATCTCGCGATTTCTTTATAAAACTGATCTTAGGCGTCACACGGTAAGCGCCGTATTAATAAAGAAAAAATATCATCCAAATAAGTTTTTTTTAACTGCTCTGTTCGCAAAAAAATATTTATAATCATATCTATGAATTACTACGTGAAAACTCGAAGGGGGAGGTAAAAAATGGATCACGTAGTAGGTACGTTTCCTAATAGTTTGTGTATTTTCAAAATTTCAAGTAATATCGACCACATCCATAGCGTTATTATAATTTCGAGATATACATATACATTTTAGAAGCAATCGCGTCAATACAAATCGTCATATATTTGGTAAAAATAGTAATAAACAATTATGTCAGACGATAAACTATATGCCATATTTGATGCATATTAACATTATTTGTTTTTTTTTCTAAATAATATAGCGAGTGATATAAACCTACGAAAAGCTTACAAATTTTGTACAAATATTGTTTATACATAAATACATATTTTAACGAAATCGTTTAATTCTGTCCGTTTAAATAAAAGCGTTGTACTTAAATATGAAATATACGTATATTTACGTACGAAATAAGTATACAGCGTGCGGACAATCGCTACTTACATCAGTCTATATTTGGTAATTTAGAACATATCGACGATATGATATGACAAGTTTAAAAAAAACAACAAAAGCTGTGGCTTTGTGTTTACTTCATATCTTTCTAGAATGTTATAATGTATAGGAAAATCTATTTTTGTTTTGATAATAAAATAAAACATATATAAATCGTCAATTTGTTCTATATTATACCAATATGCAAAAAAAATGTTGCCAGATTCAAAATCGAACGAAAAATATGGAACATTCATTTTTTTTTAAATTTTCTACATTATATAAAAACTCCCACGCTCTCACTGGGGTTTAAATAAAATAAAAAAATCTCAGACTCAGAACCGCCTAAAAACCAAAGTTCAATATAAAATTTTACATCTGGCAACATTATTTAAAAAATAAACAAAATCACAATATATATTCGTGCATATATAGAGCCTGTAAACAATGTATTTTTTACCTTTTTTTTCTTTTAATTACTCATCATCCGCCGGTTCTGTACCGAAGTAGCGATCGCCAAAATTGCCGATGCCGGGCAGTACGTAGAACTTCTCGTTGATTTCAGGGTCGAGAGCCGTTGTTATGATTTTTACCTGGATAGGAACAAAAAAAAATATTATTCGTAATTGGTTATTTTTGCTAAGCTATAGGTGTGTGTTTGGATATCCCATTAATATTATAATCCCATTAATATTATAAATGCGAAAAATATGGATGTTTGTAAGTCAATCATGCCAGAACGGCTGAACGGATCTGGATGTTTGGCACTGAGATATATTATATGTAGTCTAGAATAGCACATAGGTTACTTTTGTCCCAAAAAATATACGGTTCCCGTGAGATATATTTTTGTTTTTCACAGAATACATAATAAATGAAGTTTAATTCACATCATAATATTAAAAATATTAATTCTTAAATGTTTTTAAACAATAATAATTAGTATTCATATACCCTCGTTATGCGATGAAACACGCTGCCCGAGATGATATTCAGTTATAAGCAACATTAGATTAAAATTTTTAAACGAAGAAAAAAGAAGTCTATCGGTGAAGAGAGATAGAGAGATAAGAGTCACTCTCTCTCTCTCCCTCCGCCACCGACCTTGGGGAAGGCGTAGGCGATGGAGTGCACGCCGATCTCGGCCATGAGCAGCGACACGAGCGCGATGTGGCGCTCGGGCACGTCGTGGTCGAGCAGCACGCGGATGGCCATGATGGCGGCGGCGCCCGTCGCCACCGTCGCGTCCATCAGGATCACGCGGTAGTCCTTGATGTCCTTCGGCAGCCGCAGGTAGTACAGCTGGACGGGGAGGGACATTGTTATATTACTAATTTACAATATCTCGGCTTTGTTTCATTTGCTTTGGTGAATGTATGTATGTCAACGAGTAAAATGAAGTATGTATGTATGTATTGTTTTAAGCGATGTACAAATAAAAAAAAGTTAATAAATTGATTCAGCTTCTGTCATATTTTCTAATACATATTAATCATTTTTTTTTTAATATATTCAAGTAGTTTTATAGACCCGAGCAATGCAAAGAATAGGTCTGTTATTCCTGTAATAATGATGTTTATAATACATAAGGTATGTAATATGTGGGACATTTGTAATCGATAAGATTTTTTTTAATTTTTTCCTCATAATAGTGTTGCCATTACAAAAAACAATACATTTCAGATGTGATTTAAATAAAATAAGAGTTATTTAAAAAAAAAACATCGACATAAAAAATCAGTATTACCTTCAAAAGAATCAACGTCATATTAAAAAAAAATCAGTGTTGTTTGAAAAATATTGTATCATACTACAAAAATCTACATCATATTAAAAAAAATTGCGTCTAAGTAAAAAATCTGCGTCTCAAAAAATCAGCTTCACATTAAAAAGAAATCAGCATCATATTAAAAAATCTGCATGAAATTAAAAAAGTCAGCGTCTAATAAACAAAAACAGGTGTTATATTAAAAAAAACAGCATCATCTTTAAAAAAATCAGCATCGTCTTAAAAGAATCAACGTCGTATTAAAAAATCAGCAACATTAAAAATAACTTGCGTCACATTAAAAAAAATAAGCGTCATTAAAAAAAACTGTGTCACATTAAAAAAAAAGTCAACGTCACAACGAAAGAGATATAGAGTGTCGCACCTCCGGCTCGTCGGTCTGCTGGTTGGTCTGTATGAGTATCTTGCCGATACGGATGTCCTTGCACACGTCGCACACGGCCTGCTCCATGGTCTCGCCGGCGCGCAGGATCGACACGCCGCATATCTTCTCTACATCGCACTTGCGACCTGCACAATGCTCCTTGTTAATTATAAATACCGTTTTTTTTTTAATATTGGGAAATGCATCTACGTTTACCACTTGTATACATATAGGTGGTTATGTGGGACTCACTGACAAAGCCAGTACTACCCACTAAAACCCAACAAAACCTCCCCTGTCTTAATGAGGCGTCGCAGGATCACTTACGCACTCAAGCGCAACGGCCCGACGGCAGGTTTGCCGAAGCAGACCACAACAGCCATAGGGTTGCTCCACGGTCCACTCTGCTATCAGAGAAGTACCAGAGCAACCCGCATGGTCGATACACGTCTACCGAGGTGGACCTGCTCCCAGAACATTTCTTGGCTTCGCGCTCGGCTGGATTGCCGGACGCCAATAAGCCTCAATAAGCACATTGAGGGGGTAATAATAAATATCTGAGCGAACGAGCTTCACATGACGATATTTTGGAAAGAATATAACAATTGCGTTTTTTTAGAAAAGACACCTAAATGGATAAATTTAAAAAGCAAAACCTTATCTGATTCGCCAAATTAACGTATAGGAGATTTTAGAAAACTCACTTCTTAACAGAAAAGCTTAGCTACTATAACAAAAAAAAAAACAAATTAAATCTAGAAGATAGATATACCAATATAATTGAACCAAGTATAACTTAACAAAAAAACAACATTCGAAACAGGATATAGTAGAGTTGATAACATACAGTAGGCACCATCGAACACTAATAACTACAAAAATAAACGAGATACACAATCAGCGACAAAAATGTCCTCACCGAATGAGCGCCCACTTGAATATTTGGGTGCACTTTTAATTTAGTAACTTATTAGTTATTGTGGTAATAACGGCAAACATGCCCAAGTACTCTTTTAAAAATTGCAAAAAATCACACATTTAGGACGCTAAAAAAGGATGGACTTTCATATTTTCGGTAAGTATTAATATTATCGTTATAAAATTGTTATCTTTGTATTTTAAATCATCGTAAAACAATTTTTAAATTAAGTCGTAATAAACAGCAGGAGTTATAAAGCATCTTAATTATAAAGACTCTTACTAAACGTATTAATTATACTATCGCATGTCTACTTAAATTGTTCGGGTTATGTGCGTTGGTTCTGTTCCATATGCGTGTAAGGTTGAATTTGTTTTGAAATAATTGCTCTTTGTACATAGCTTTGTGAAAACAACTTTATGCATTGCAAATAAGTTTGAATTTACTTTATTATATTATATTTATATGAAATAGAATTACTTAAACACAATAGGGAATACGCGTGATTGTTTCTTAATTTCTATACAATAGTAAACATCGTTATATAATTGTAAAAAAATATTCAGCTCCAAACAACTAAAATTAAGTATAAAAACAAATTTAACAAACATCATACCGATACGGATATTTTAAACGCTCGCCATTTCACGCGCTCGGCGCCGGTGACGTCACAGTATGATATATGTATACAGAAAAATAACGACTCAATTTGTATGCGACAAAATCGCTATCGCTCTGTTATCTTTGACTTTGAATTTCCCACTTATATTTGCACTTTTTAAGAATTATTTTCTTAATGAAAAAGAAATCACATTGAAAAATATGAATATAGGCTTAATTCAAAAACAAAAAAGAATATAAAAAAAATATTTAACTTTTATTTAAATCACACGCATATCCCCTATTGGTGACAGTTTTAAGAGAACTTTGCAATGAGATTTTGTACTTCTTTATTGGTGATCGATGGTTGGCACGAATATACGCGAACCAGTGTTATATATAGAACCCACGAACTCTTTCATACTCAGGACCTCTAATACTTGAAGAAAATTGATCTAAACAGTTCCAGAAATCAATACATACCAGTATAAGTGAATCCCTGTGGTGTATCAACTTCATGTGTACTGTAGGGCAGTAGCGAAAGCGCGAACTCTATGACGAGACGCATGAGGCGTTTGGAATAAAATATAAACTCATCTCGAGGCGTGTCTTTGTTTCGAATGAACGTGTGCAGACCTTGTACCTAGGAAGGGAAAGGATTCTTTCTATATTAATCTAATAACTATATTCATCAGTAAAATGGAAATTGTTTATTTTTTTAGATCATCATATCAGGAATTTGTAGCAATTTTATGTAATTATCTCATTATCCTAAGTTACGCCTTAATAACATGAGCTATCTGCCAGTGATAGTCCCGTTAAAATCAGTCCACCAGTTTCGAAGATAAGCCGGAACAAACATAACAAACAGACGGACAGACAGGCAATTTTTTTTAAAAGGGTACTTTTCTTTTAAGTACCGTATAAAATTTTATATGAATTTGGTAAAAGGCTGTTTCGGTATTACAACCAGACACTTCAATTTTATTTATCTGTATAGATAATAATAGAAACAGGTTAAAACTTAAAGTAATAACTCACTTGTGGTGTATCCTTCAGAACAAAGAGCGAGTCCGGCAGCGGCTGGCCGATGTGCGCGATCGCGAGCTTCTCGCGCACTTTGAACCCGCGCTGGAGATGTAAATTGAATTTGAATTGAAATCCCGTTAATATTATAAATACGAAAGTTTGGATGTATATTTGTTACTAAATCACGCCAGAACGCTGGCTGCACAGATCTGGATGAAATTTGGCTTTTAATCCCTTAAAAATGTACGATTCCCGTGGGATAGAATTGTTTTTATTTTTCACTAGAGCGAACCCGAACTGAATTTGTACAAGAAATCCAATATTCTTGATCGATTTTAAGAAAAGAAGGCGTTTTAGAGTGTTTGTTTTTCTTGATTATTAATTTTTTTTTTATATAACAGTTATTTAAAGGGTAGCAATTTTCATTTACTTATGTTGATATTTTTGTGTATGTTATTCACAATTAATAAGTATCGGTTTCTATAATTGTTTGAGTCGGGTCTACTCAACGTCAACTCCAACAACTCCGTTCAAATTCAACTTCTTTGTCATTGGGTTATGTAAATCTGTACAAAAATGCATCACATTTTAACTTTTCTATTCAATAGATACAAAGACAAACTGCGATATACAGACAAACAGATGCATTTACCTCAAAGGTTCCCAAAATTTCATCAAATAAAACAAAAAATATTAAATGAAGATGGTTACATATAAAAAATTCTCAGTCCGCCCCACACTCGGCCAGCATGGCGGACTATGGCCTGATCCCCCTGAATTGAAAGGAGGCCCGTGCCCAGCATTGGGACATTACAAAGGGCTGAACACAATAACAACTCAACCCAATCCGATACAACTCAACCCGTAAACAAACACCACAAAACCACTTACCAGTTGCAATTGCTTATGTACATGCTGCACTATTAGGGAAATGGCGACATGGTTTTCTCCCCCACGAGGTACGATGATGTCCGCGTGCGCCATACTCGGTGCTATGTAGCTTTGATACGCGGGTTTCACATGTGTTAGGTACTGCTTCAACACTCCCTCCAACTCGCGTCCGCGCTGCACTATATCCCTGTTAAATAAAAAAAAAATGTTGGGACATTAACACACAGCGCTATCTAGTTCCATTGTAAGCTATGAGGCTTGTGTTACGGATACCTGATAGTTGATACACTACACATATATAATTCTAAATATATACATGTTATAAAAATAAATACATGACTGGAGTACAAATATTCGTACTCATCGCACAAACGAATTTCCCCAGCGGGACTCGAACCCGCGACTGCTGGCACAGCAAGTAGGGTTATTACAAACTGAGCCAAGCGGTTCGTCAAAACCTGTTGACGATGGAGCGCCTTGAACATAGGGTTGAAGCCTGATGTAGTATTATAACTTGAATGTTTATACTACCACTCGCACCAAATGTACCTTTGTACGCGGGCTTCATGTACGTTAGGTCAGTTACTGTTACAGCGCATCCTTCATAAACTTAAGTTTCTGTCACGTCATGGCAGTTTATGTTAAACAAAGAATGAAAAGAATACAAACGATGGAACGCTAGTTATGTAACATGAAAAAAAAACGTTTTTTTTTCACAATGTTGAAAAAAAACTTGAAAAAAAAAACTTAGTACCTTTATTTATTTTTTCAGAAAAAAAAAATACAGGAATTTTTTTTTGAGGTACGAGTATGTTTTCTAATTTCCTACATTTTACTAAAATTACAAATCAAATAAAGTATTATGGATTAATTAACTAAAAATAGTCCTATACCTCTGTGTCAATGTTAGTAACACTTTCAGTATCAGTGCCACCTACACTAGTTTTATATTTGTCAGTGACGGAATTTTCCCATGTAAGCTTGGTACTATTCAACAAAAAAAATATATGGTAGGTTTATAAATAAACAGAAAACTCTAATATGAACTCTTAAGTATTTATCTTTTACGGAAACTACCATAATGATTTTGTATTCTGTACTCTTGAAAAAAAAACATGTTATAGAAAAAAAACGCGTTTTTTTCATGGATTTTTTTTTGTTTATTTTTTTCAGGGTAGAAAGAAAAACATTATTTTTAAAACACTATGGAGCGCTTTGAAGCTGTGGTTATTGTAAGCAGTGGTTGTCTGATATGATATTATAATTAGATGCATATAAATTATAATACCATTCATACAGCATATTAGAGTTACATACATGCTGGGCGTGATATATAGCTCTTTTAGCCAACTTCCTAAAATCGGGCTGTCTTTAATAATTTCATGACGGAAAATCTCAATAACTATACATACTAAGGTTAAAATTATTTAAAAAAATAATATTTATATTATTCTATCTATTTAATACCTTACAGAATTCGTCATAAAATATATTTTTTATAGTAAAATCGATAATTTAATTGAAAAATAAAATAGATAATTTCATTGATAAATGGTTTTTTTATCTATCCATTGTTTTGTTTTTGTCACTCACAAATTTCAATCATAATACATTAACAGTTCACATAAAAATATTATTTAGTATTGTTCTAAATATAAACAAGATAAGATCAGCGTGGCAGTTTCGAGAAAAACAACAATATTGATGGAAGTGTTTTGACGACACTTTTGGCTCAGTTTGTAGTGACCCTACTTGTCATGCCAACGGTCATGGGTTCCAGTCCCGCTGGGGGGCATTCATTTGTGTGATGAGCACGAATGCTTGTACTCCAGTCATGGGTGTTTATATTTATAATACTTATACATATATTTAAAGTTATATATGTATGTGTAGTATAACACCTATCTGGTATGGATATGACAAGCCTCGCTTAGCTTACTATGGAACTAGATGGTGTTGTGTATTAATGTGCCAACAAAAAAAGTATCTAGTTGTTTTGTTGATTTGATATTTTAATGGTAGTATAGAAATACACACTTTCTTAGTAATATAAGGGCTACTTTTAGGCACATAGGCACACTCTAGGAGTCTAGAATAAAGCGAGGGTAAGTCACTAACCTATACATATAATAAAATTGTAACGAAGCCAAATCTGTACATTAAATATTTTTTGGAAAATCTTATTGAAATAGACATTATTATCGATACAGAGGCCGAATCTATAATTGTTAGGATTTTCGCCTGTCTGTGACCGCATCACGAGAAAACCACTGGACGGATTTTGATGAAATTTGGTATGATGATAGCTGACTGCGGGAAAATATCTCAATCTCTGAGAAATCTATACTAAACGTTAAAACTAGTGAGTCGATAGTCTTACTATATTATAAATGCGAAATTTTCCGAGGTTGTATGGATGGATATATGTATGTTTGTCATTTTCGCAAAAACTACTGAACGCACTTTGATGAAACTTTACATAAATATAGCTTATACATCATAGTAGCACATAAGCTATAATCTATAAAGATATAGTAATATATAGTTGAACTAACAAAGCATACCCTACCTTCTCAGTCGCCGGGCGAGACGTATGTCCGCGTCTGTATCAACAAACACTTTCATGTCCAACATCTTGAGAACGTCCGCGTTATAGAAGGCGAGAATACCCTCGAATATTATAACGTTCGCGCCATACATTGTTTTCTGTAAATAATTTAAGTTTTTTATTAATTTCAGTACTTGGGCGAACAAGCTTCGCTCGTTCAGTAGGTTATTTATTTATTTATTTTATTTGAGAATAAAACAACAAAATAGAAAAAATAACACATCGACCAATCAAGTTTCCACAATTAAATAGTTCATACTTGTGAGCGAGCATATAAAATACTAAGTACAAATAATTGACAATTAATCCCTCCACGACCGCGGACACGCCGGCGTATCAGTTAACAATAGATGTCTTAGAATTTTAATTAATTTTTTAGAAATTTATCTGAAGGTGTTAAGGATATATTATAATTAGAAAATAATATAATATATAATAATAATAAAAAAAAAATCTATTGGCGACAATGCAAGTACCACAAACATTTACGAGATGGCGCTATATGACATTGTCAGAGAGCAGATAGAAAGAGAGCGGATAGAAAAAATACGTTTTTCAGAAAAGACACTTATATAGATAAACTTAAAAAGAAAAATTTAGTAAAGTACAAAATTTGATCCAAATCGTTTAGCGCCGTTTCGAAGATATACGTAATAAATTTAGTTTCAAGAATGGCTCATTTAATATTATAAGGGTTTATTATTATAATATTTTAAGCTCTCACACAAAGTACACAACAATGCCTTGCAGGGGGGATCTATATATAGAGTTTTCGGGCTGTAGCCTAGGGCCCCTAAAATATAAAGCCCATGTCGAAAACAATGAATAATATTGTGAATTTATAAAATACAAATAACATCTAAAATACATAAAATAAAGCCATAAAAGGTTGACCTAATAACTTCATCTAGTATCTACCATTATAGATATTTAACAAGCCACTGACAATAACTTTAGGCCCCCGAGAAGTGTTAGTCTAGGGCCTCCCAAATACACGATTCGCCCTTGACGACTTGGCCAATATGCACTTGGCCAGAGTGGTGAATTATGACCTAAATCCCCTCGTATTGGGAGTCCCGTGCCCAGCAGTGAGGCGTTAAAAGGGGTTGAAATACAATATATAAAACAAACTCACCGTCCTGTTCTCACGCGAATGTGTCACATAGTTGTATATAGGCACTTCCACCTTCTTTCCCTCCTTGAGCCGGTGCAGCACTGAGATGAGGAGCTCGATGTCGAACGCGTCCGGGTGGTCGAAGTTGTATTCGTTACGCATAGCCAAGTGGTGTTGCTTTTCGTTTAACACCTGTTTAATTTCAAATTTGCTTTGTTAACCGATTTACGAAAGGTAGGTAGTGTGTTTGACTTTTTAGTAATTACAATGTATCTGGAAATTCCAAAAAATTGTGGAGTTTTGGACTGATGAAGTGGTGGTAGATTTATTCTGATGATACGAAGGTCATACATATGGTTATGTAAACATGTTTATTTTGGTTACAACTTTTGATGTAACCAAAATAAACGTGTTTACATAACCACTCAAGTTTAAAATTATGTTAGAGTAATATCATACAGGCACTCGGTAACCGAGTGAAGCACGTTCGAATCCCGAGTCTCGCACCTCTGACATTTTCATGTGCAAATCATTTCCAACATGATTAGCACTTGTCTTACGGTGAAAGTATTAATGCGAGTCCGACTCGCACTTGGCAAGTTTTTATTTTTTTCTTAAAATTGAGAATTAATTAAAACAATAATTACGCTTGCACAATACACAATACAATTGGCAAATATATTTTTGGCAACTCGATTATTGTTTAATCTTTTAATTAAGGACTCGCGCATGAAGGGGTTCGTACCATTATCTATAAAAATAGCAAAAAAATCACGTTTGTTGTATGGGAGCCCCCTTAAATATTTATTTTATTCTATTGCTTTGTATTTGTTGTTATAGCGGCAACAGAAATACATCATCTGTGAAAATTTTAACTGTTTAACTATCACGGTTCATGAGATACAGCCTGGTCACAGATGGATAGACAGACGGACAAACAGCGGAGTCTCAGTAATAGGATCCCGTTTTACCCTTTGGGTACGGAACCCTAATAAACTACTCAAAAATACTCTGTTGTGAACGCAGAACCCGAACCATAAGTACGAAACGTGCGTTTTCTCGATAACCAATCACAGCGCGAGGACCTTCGGCTCCCATCAGCTGCTGGCATACCTCGATAAGCTATCTTTCTTGCACCTATGGCTACGCATAAGACTTTTTTGTAGTACTAATTTGTAAACTTTATTTACGTCTGGGTATGGTTTATAACCGGTAAATTCGTCTGGCGATTTGCAAGTATTATTGAAAATTACTCAATAAATACGTGATTATAATTTCAGATTGCCAAAAGTATATTTTTTGGGAATTTTAATAAAGCATCTTTGGAGAGGTCTGGCAATACTTTATAACCGACAAAAACGTCTGGGGTTCTTTTTTTAGAATTATATGATAACTAAATTAAAAGATTAAACAAAAATCAAGTTGCCAAAAATATGTTTTTTTTTTGGATAGTTTTTTTGCAAATGTTATATACTTTGCAGTAACGAAATAAACGCTAAAGCTATACCAGACTCGCGGGATTGGACTCGCCAATTCACGAAATTATATTTTTTCACAATTTCAACTTGCCAAAAGGACCTTCCCAAAATTCGTCGCCAGCTCTCGGGCTACCAAGTAAATACATAATTATCTTGTATTATTTATACAGAAAATATGCGAAACTGAAAATTGTAAAATACTGCCGTTTTTCTCTTCTCAATTGGTTCTAAGCGGTTTAAAGCGAATACAAGCACTAAGCTGTTGTTAACGGCGTATTAGTCATTTCAAGTGCCTACGTTCACTCATACTTATAATATGTAGGACAACTATCTATTTATAATATAATAATATGAAATAAAGAACTGATATAGACACTGGAATAGTGTAATTTTCATTGAAGTTATTTCGTAAGCTTGATTACCTCATTTTTTTCATATTTTTCGACCACATATTGAAAAACGTTATGAGCACAATGTTAACGGCTTTAGAAGAACATAACTCATTTCTAAACTCATAAATAAAGGCTTTTGCTTAAAAACATTTCATTTTCATTAAGCAACTATTTCATTTTTAAAAAAACCAACATGCTTTTATGCAATTTGATACTTTCTCAGATTTACGTGAATATTTGACATTTATACCTACACATAATAAAACTGTAGAGGTCGAATGTATGTACAAAAAATATACTAAAAACCGAGTTAGCCCGTAAGAAGAGAAATAGAACAAATTCGATTTTTTTTCCAATTTTTTGTTTCTCTGTTTGTACGAGCTAATCTACGAAACTGTTGGACCGATTTAAATGAAATTTTGCATGGTGGTACCTTATATCTCCGGTCAACATTTTAGATACTTTTCATTTCGGAAAATTAAAGAGTTCCCGTGGGATAGATCTGTTTGTGCTTTTCTAGAGGCGAACCCGAGCGAAGCGAGGGTGAGTCGCTAGTTTTAAATAAAACTATCTCTTTGAATTTTATTTCTAGTATTGAATAAAACCCTTACCTTATAGAACGAGTCCATACTGACGATGGTAACCCATGGGATGTTAAGAGATTCTATGATTTTCGTCGCCACAGTCGTCTTCCCGGACGCGCTCGCGCCGCCGATACCTGCAAACAAACTTAATTTAAACATAACACTTCATATGTATATAACAAATACTTTAAAATCGTTAGGTATAGTTTTAAAATACTAAAAAAAAGTTAAAAAACACGCTTTTTGATAAGCAGTGAGATATATTAAAAACTAATTAAATTAGCTCAAACTCTATAGTAGTTACTTTATTAGACATTAAAGAGTTCTACTAATAATAATGCCCTGACCGATTTCGACCACGGCAGCCAATCTTATTGATTTTTCGTTTCGTATCGTTTTGTTTTGTTACTGGATGAAAATTTTTTTAGGTATTTTGTTGTACCTCAAGAACTTTGCGACATATACTTGTATATACATATTACAAACGCCAAACTTTGTGAGGGTGGATAGATGGATGTTTGTTACTATTTCACGCTAAAACTACTCAACGGATTTTGATGAAACTTTAAAGTAATATAGCTCATACATCAGAGTAACATATCGATACATATAATAAAATTGTAAGCCGAATCTGTACATTAAATATTTTTTGGAAAATCTTATTGAAATAGACATTATTATCGATACATAGGCCGAATCTATAGTTTTTAGAACTTTTGGCTGTCTATCTGTCTGTCTGTTACCACATCACGGGAAAACCACTGGAGGAATTGTGATGAAATTATTGAGATGATAGCTAGTTATTCGGGTCAACATATAAGATACTTTTTACCGCGGGAAAATATCTCATGTCTGAGAAAAAATACAAAATGTAAGAGTATACTAATATGTAAAACCTAAGAATTTGGTTTTTGTTCATCTGAACGCGGGCGGAGCCGCGGGCAATGCTATATGCTATATGTATGTATATGATCATGTTCAGGACTGTGGTTTTACTTTACTTAAACTTCGGCATCGTATTTTTTATCTAAATATATACATATACATATGTATTAATTTTAATATCAATATTACGTAATTATATTAAGAAATTCAATTAAAGACTAATCGGGATTGTAAACAAAACAATTAGCAAAGCGTTTGCTGCCTCATATCAATCATATTTTGTACGTGTCACTTCTTAAAAGATGACTACTGATTAGTACGTGAATAATTGAGGCACAAAAACCGGCATCAATTAAAGTTTGTTTTGGCCATCATATTTTAATTCGTTAATTAACATGTTATATTGCGTCCTGTCAGACTATAAACGTAATATTCATTTATAATAAACTAGCGACTCACCCTCGCTTCGCTTTGGGTTCGTCCCTAGTGAAAAACAAAAGGAAATCTATCCCACGGGAACCGTACATTTTTCCGGGAATAAAAATTAACCTATGTGTTATTTCAGACTATAATCTATGTCTGTGCAAAATTTCGTCCAGATCCTTTCAGCCGCTCTGGCGTGATTGAGTAACAAACATCTATATATTCTCCCAAACTTTCACATTTATAATAATAAGTATGGATATGGCTTAACTTAATGGATATACATTTTTATCAACATAAACTTAAAATTTAAAATTACTAATCTAATGGGAAGACAAATCTGGGTATTATTTTTACCCGACTGCGGCGATGACTAAAGGATGGTCATGTGTTTGACCTGTATGTATGTACTATACAGTCGGAAATACACATGTACTAATATACATACACATACCAAGACTCGCAGTCAGTATAAAACATATATATCTCCGACTGCATAGCACTTGTTCTCATCATTTTACTTCGCTTTTTATTTATTAATAATTTACACATAAATTACACACAAAAAACTTTACACCAAACACATCTTATACAAAATCTAAAAAACCTAAAAAAAATAACAACTTCCTCACCAATAAGAAACGGCTCGACTTCCTGGCCGCCGGTACAGTTGTACCAGGGGGGCCTCCCTGCCGTGTATATAGTCCGTCTGTCAGCATGCAGGATACTCTCCGCCGTGGTCCGCTTGTTGGACTGCGACATGGAGGCTGTACGCACTCGGCGAGCCCGAGGCGATTTGAGGATGTTTGAACCTAAATAATTAAAATTATGAATTCAGGTAATGGTAGCCCAGTGGTAACGTGCTCGCTTGGGAAATGTGCTAATCATTTCTAATATGATTACCACTTGTCTTATCGTGAAGGACAACATCGTGAGGAAATCTGAATATCTGAGAGAACCTAGCAAGTTTTCAAAAGACATGTGAAGTCCGCCAACCCGCACTTGGCCAGCGTGGTGGACTATGCTCTGATTCCCCTCGTATTGAAGAGAGTCCCATGCACATCAGCGGGACGTTAAAAAACGGCTAAATACATACAAGATTAATTTACTAGCGACTTGCCCTTACATCACTGAGCGTCGCAAGGTAACAAACATACACACAACATACAAACTTTCAGATCTATAAATAAATAATAGTCCAATATATGGAAAATTATTTAAAACGATTCTTCCAATAAGTAACGCTATATTAATACTTCAGTACAGAATATTAGGAACTGGCGACTTACCGTATCTTCACTCGAGTGCGTCTGTATGTACCTTTTGCATTTATAATATTTAATACAAATAGCAATAAATATAACTTTTTGGCATTTTTTTTTACTAACAGTAGTGTATATGTTTGTTAGTCCAAGTCATACTTGTACTTTGTACATCTAAACCCGTCCAGCCGTTTCGACCGGCTACCTAATACTGTCCAAAAATGATATAGACCTGCCATAGGATTCTTCAAGGTTGCATGTCTAATACGAACGGAATAAGCAGTTACGTCTGAAGTCATGGGTTCGACTATAGCGCGAGGCCGGTATATAATATAAATCAAATTAGTATCAATCATAAAAAATGTTGACTTTAAGTAAACGTTAAAAAATATATTATTACATCCTTATGCGGATAGGGGTCGTTTAAGTATTACGTATCCATATTTTTAAGGATTTTAGACCCCCTCCTCCATTGTACAGAGCAAAAATAAGAAAATCACAATCGTTTTATTTTTTACACAAGATTTTTAATATCGCCCTCTCCCTATGAGCGCAAAAGTAAAAAAAATATTGGACTTACGTAATACTTGTACGGTCCCATAGATAAAATAATATATTCACCACTCATTGTTATATCATAAATTGAGAATCACACAAAATTATGTATAATCAATATGAAGTAATCGATTGAATTATAAATAAGTATGCTGTTAAAGACTGTAACCATTTGAACACCTAACCACACGATAAAATTACATGGCAAGGGTCAGGGCTCTGGCAAGATTATTACAAAGTTATTGATGAAAAAACTTATACTATATGTTGGTCAGTTTCATTGTTTTGTCAAAATTTGCAGATAAACAGAAGAATATATTAAAAAAAAACTTCTTATATGAGATATTAATTCAATGTCGTTGAAAGACACATTTTGTTTTTATAGGCATGTATACAGCCCTTTTAAACATACCACTGCTAATCATGGGCCTCCCTAGAATGCTAGATGAATCAGGCCATAAATATATTCAATACATATTTATTTTGAAATAATATTTAAAATCATTTGCTAAATCTAAAATTTCATTTCAATTTATTGAAATTATCATACCTGTTGAGGGTGGTCTATAGGGCCTAACATTAGGAACGGTGGTAGGCGAAGCCGGGGCGCGAGAGTAGTCATCTTCATCTACGAACACTTGTTCACTTATATCCAATGCAAGTTCTGTGTCACTGCAATGTTCATCAAAATTTAAATCTTTATTTAGTAACTAAACTGAAGTTGTTTATATTAACAATTTTTATTTTATTTACTCTGTGGTTTGCCAATGGAGACATATGAATCTATCATCCATTGAAAAAGAAAGGTTTTGAAAATGAACTTATTATTAGTTTTTGGTAGTAAGATATGAACCAAAGTTTTGTTTTTACTAAAACAATCTACTTATAATTCTAAATGGATAGTAATATTTTAATAAATATTGTCAGTACCATTTCTTTGTAGAATCTAATCTTGTAAAATGTGGATAGGATGTACTCGTATTACGTGATGTTACATGTTGCTAATTGCTAAGTTTTATATCACAACTATGTAAGTGAAGTAAAAACATTTTCTATACATATAATAAAATTGTAACTAAGTCGAATCTGTACATTAAATATTTTTCGAAAAATCTTATTGAAATAGACATTATTATCGATACAGAGTCCAAATATATAGTTTTTAGAATTTTTGTCTGTCTGTCTGTCTGTCTGTCTGTCTGTTACCACATCACGAGAAAACCACTGGGCAGATTTTGATGAAATTTGGTATGATGATAGCTGGTTATCCGGGTCAACATATAGGATACTTTTTACCGCGGGAAAATATCTCATTTCTGAGAACAAATACAAAAACTGCATTGTAAGAGTATGCAAATATGTAAAACCTAAGAATTTGGTTTTTGGTCATCTAAACGCGGGCGGAGCCGCGGGCAATGCTAGTTTATATATAAAGACAACAACATTAACTATCGTAAATCGAACTGTCTGGGTGGTGCAGTTGCTAACATGTACGGCTGCACATCGAGAGGTTCTGGGTTCGACTCCCGGGTCCGGCCAAGTATAGTTGTTGAAGTTGGCGGTGTTTCACCCTCGTGCCTAGGAGAGCACGTAAAACCTCGGTCCTGCCTAACTCTCACCGGTCATGTAGAGTAATCGTCCCACCGGAGTATGAGTGACAGGAATAGAGAGTGCACATTGTCTCTTGTGCACTATATCTTCTGCGCAGTTGGCTAGTCTCAATGAGACTGGCCGCCGTGTCCGAAGTCGGTCGGGTGATCATTATTATCGTAAACCATTATTTTAAGAATGTTGAGGAGAATAAACGTAATTTAATTGAGAATAGCACACTTAGTAATGTTTATATTACTATATTATAGAGTTTCATCTTGATACTTCATTCTTAAAATAAATTTCCTTGTGTACAACCTTTGAGATGAGGTAAGTAATGATCACTTGAAAAGTTTTTAACTTATCTATACTAGTATTATAAAAGGCAGGGTTTGTTTGTATGTATGTATGTTTGAATACACTATACCAGGAAGTACTAATCCGATTTGAAAAATTCTTTTTGCATTAGATAGCCCATTTATTGAGGAAGGTTATGTCTAAGCCAAGAGATTCCATACTAACCTTTAAAACATACCTAGGGACGAACCCAAGCCAAGCAAGGGCGAGCTGCTAGTAATAGATAAAATAACAAGAATGAAGACAAATGTAAGTAGCTTAAAAAGATGTTATTTAATTTAAATGTTTGTATGGTATCAGATGAATGTGTAATGAGTCATAAAAGAAAATTAAGGTCATTGTTAATGTATCAAATACAAGGTTGTTTGTAAATGCATTTTATAAAAGACTTGACATAAAATGTGTCAAGGTTGATCTGATATAGTTAAAAATTCAAAATGTTGTTTTTAAAATGACTTTTATTTCATTCGACACTAGATTTTAGCAATAATTCGTTCAATAAATTGCAAACAAAGTTATAACTATTAATATTTATAATTTTTTGGTCTAAACAGTCTAATTTGCTTATATTTGACTTTCAATATGATTTGATTATGTATATTGAGGCTATAAATTAGTGTGGAATATTACCAGCAACATTGCATAAAGTTCTTAATAAATTGTGAATGTGTTTCAACAATGAGGATGTGTGTGCGAGACATTTCTGGAGAAACTCTTTTTTGTTGAATAATAAAAAGATAAAATTAACATGATAAATAATTAAATATACCAAGACATTGAAATTATTATTATCGCTTAAAGAAATAGTAGTTTGGAATCGAGCACTTAAATATTCTGTGAACTAGTTTTACTTCTTTGTAAGTTAATTAAATTTAGATAGCATATTCAATGTCATTTCATCCTTATTTTTAAATTATCTTTTTCCATGTACATATGTGTGTAGATAGGCCTAAGAAACACCAATGATTTGTTTATCTTATCACTTTTACATATTGTATATGCATGTTTGTGTTTATATCTTTTGTTTACAAGTTTTTTCAATGGCAATGTGTGACTTTCACCAATAAAAGGTTATATTCTAAAAATATTTATTCTGACATTTTATCTACAAAACATATTTGCAAATAAAATAAACTACAAGCATAAAAACCAAAACACAGCTACTTACTAGTCACGTCGACGAATTAAAACAATATTATAAAAATATCTTACGCATGGGCGAAGATTATAGAATTTTGATCCATATTTCCAGAATTTTGTTCTTTTTCATGTATAAGAAAACAATTTAGATGTTAACCGGATCCGAGCACGTGTCTATTTCACGGTGCGATCGTATAACGTAAAGTAAGATGCCAATGTACTACATGAAAGTCTAAAAATAAACCACAATGTGTATATGCATAGGTTATGACTCTAGGCAGCAAAGTTGAATTAAAGCACGTACGGCATTGTTTCAGTATACCATAAAATCACTGTACGTAAAAACTTCGCGTAGCTACACTCGTGACCACGCTCACACTTAAAGCTAGCCTTCTCAAGCGAAAAATTTGTTGACACGAGACAGCTGTGCAAACAAACAATAATTAAGGTTAGCACACACGATTTACCTATCCGAGCTAGCCGAACTGGGAGTTTCGAATTTGTTCAGTTTCCCAGCCATCACTAGTCGTCACAAAAACACGTATTTTTATTGAAAATAGATTAAAGATAGAAAAGTTCGCGAGAGGCACACGCAGCTAGTGATTTTGACGACTGACATTCACCGTCTTAAAACTGCGTCACACGTACGCAGAGTGCTGCATCATTGACGTCATGTTGTAGAATATTTCTAGAAAAATACTTTATTTAAAAATTCTAAATAACATCAATTTATTACCTATATAGCAAATGATTACATATTATGCTTATATCAAAAGATTTTTTTAAATATTTTGAGAGTTTCAAATTATGTTTCTGAACGTCTTAGAAAATTGCGTTCCATTACAAGAGATGAAAAATATAATCAATAAAATGAGCTGATATAATATTATATCTAAATTAATTTAAAAAACGTTCTTAGAATGAAAATTTTACTTTTAATATAATATTTTTTTTATATCTTATATTTTATTATGAATGACTACCTGGCATAGCATAGATTTTATTTATAGCCTTGCTTATTCGAATGTAACTGTTTATTATATTCGAATGTAATTTTTAAATTATTACGTATTAAATCTGATAAATATTTTCATATTCGTTGTGAAAATTGATGCACCCAGATATTATAATAATTTTTTATAATTGTTTTAGAATATTGGTACTTAACATAAAATCATTATTACGATTAAATTAATAGTATATCTTTTATTTGTTAAAGTTTTTTTATTTACTGTTGTAATGTGATCTACCTACAAAGTATTTTACCACGACCTAGCACCGACAATTGGACTGTTCTCTCACCGGCAAGCTAAAATGCTTAATATGTGAAGCCGCTATAAGTCAGTTCTTTTATAATTTTATTTCCACAAATGCGTAGCCGGCGGTATCATCATTCATCACTATCAGTGCTTTGCTGACATTTTTTAGTTGTATGTGCTCATATAATATGTAATGATTTCATCATTAACTGCCTCGGTGGTGTAGTGGCTAGCATGTACGGCTGCACACCCGGAGGTCCTGGGTTCGAGTCCCGGGTCGGGCCAAGTTTAGTTATTGAGTCTTTCTGTATAGTAAGTCTCAGTAACAACCCGGAGTTGGGAAGTTGGCGGTGTTCCACCCCCGTGCCTCGGAGAGTACGTAAAGCCGTCGGTCCTGCGCCTTAACTCTCACCGGTCGTGTCGAGTGGTCGTCCCACCGGAGTATGAGAGTGATAGGAATAGAGAGTGCACTTGTGTTTGCGTGTACACTTGAGCACTATAATATCTCCTGCGCAGTTGGCTAATCTCAATGAGATTGGCCGCCGTGGCCGGAATCGGCTAGGAGAACATCATCATCATCATCAATGATTTCATTTCTTTTTTGTAGTTTTATGTTTGTTTCAATAGAAAATATCGTAGCCCAACGGTTTTAGTATTTTGTTTATCTCTCTGTTTTAATTCGTGATCACAGATCTTTTTAAAACTTGCTCAGTGTTCCCCTCCTTTTTGCAACATTAAATATATAGTACAAATATCGAGATTTCAGATTTATACGTTACCTAGGCGTTTCTGTTAGAAGGACTAAGGAGTAAAGCACAGGTGAAAGTAGTAACACACAATATAATCGTTGCTACGATGTTTATAGCAGGGGTAGGTACAATAAATAGATATTATTATGGAGTTTTTAATTAACAATTCAATCAAATAGGTTTAATTATAAGTATGAAAACGCAGTTTTAATTTCTACATTCATACATTATTACTTTTTGTTAAAATAAGGCAACACTCAATTTTATAAAATAGTTTTTTTTGTTTAATCTGTGGTCTGTGTCTGTGAGTAAAAATGTACAATTAATTTGTAATAGTTAAAAAAATAAAATAAACGTTCTTTAGACCAAATACATTTTTTTTTCTAATACAATCCACTTCTACTGCACGAACACTTACATTCTGCGAACACTTTTAAATAAAATTATCTTTCTATTTCTATAATGGCTTATAGTTGCGTTAAAACTATCATTTCGGATTATTTCGCGGATTTATTTTGATTTTTAGACGTGAGACGTCTATGAGGCGTTATAAACTTGTTACAGAGAATATATATAACGCCTTTGAGACGTCTAAAACCTTAGTCTCTCCCGTGACCATGATTGCTGTAAAGAATTCGAAACGTCGGGAACCAAAAGTCAAAATATATCTATATAATATGTAGTTTTATTTAAAATGTCAAATATTTGCATAAAATGTAAATCTAAGAAAGTATTACAGTACTAGTGGCTCACCCTCGCATCGCTCGGGTTTGTTTTAAATAGATAAGAATAAGTTATTAGCCAGCGTTAGTCATATAATTTTTATATTCCTTAATTTTTCATTTTTTCTTTTATTAAAACCTTTCGCGGATTTTAAGGAATATACGAAAAAAATTTAGCCGAATTGGTCCATCCATTCTTGAGTTATGCACTTACCAACATTCATTTTTATTTATATATATAGTAGATTACTTTTTAAAAAGCAGCCACGTCAGTCGTCACTTGTTTAAGCATATTTAATAATCCGTAAGTATTATTATAATCTACTTAGTACTTAGGTAATAAATTTATTTGTATTAATAACCTATAGGTACTTACCTAAAAATGTAACCTATTTTTTATTTAAATGAAATTCATCATTTGGGTAAATCTATTTATTTAGTTTTTCTTTTAGCACTTACGTTTGACGCATATAATATTGAATCATTGATAGATATTAGATATATCGCCTGAAAGAGATTTAATTAACTGAAAGTTACGAGACGACAGTGTTGCAGACAATTAGGCGAAACTTTTCCCATTTGCATGTTATGGGCCAAGTTTCCGTTCAAGCATTCACCCTAAGTTAAACCGCTAAGAATTCGGAATTTGAATTTATTATTTTTTTAATTTCGCACAGATTATCTTTGAAACTTTAGTACATGAGCAGATTATAAGATGACTTAAATCTTTTGTTATAAAATGGTTTAGAAAAGAAAATTTTTAATCAATTTCAAATGAAAGTTTAGATTTTAATATTTTATTACATTTTTATTTCCTTTTTTTTAATTTGTGTAGATTAATATTTAAACGAAATTCTTTTAAACTAAATTAGCATGATAACAATTAATTAGTAATTTTATTACTGAGTATTAAAATACTGTTTATAAAACTCGGCCAAGTGCGAGTCGAAATCGCACACGAAGGGTTCCGTACTATCATACATGTATTCTATATTGATATCACTTTTACTTATTTATTTATTCTATGTATGCAGTATATTACTACATAAATAGAATAAAAGTCGAAACCAAACTTGGATCGATTACAAACGTAAAAAAATATTTCTTGTATTTTTATATTTATTTATTATTTTGTTATTATAACGGCAATAGAAATACATACTCTGTGAAAATTTTTACTCTCTACTTATTACGGTTCATGAGATACAGCCCTCTGACAAACGGACGGACAGCGGAGGTTTAGTAATAGGTTTCCGTTGGCACCCTTCGGGCACGAAACCCTAAACACGGTCAAGTAGTATTAGCGGATTTTATACTTAAGTAGAATTAAAACACCGCGTTATGATTAAGTTTTTAGTATATGTATGAATATTATGGATAAAGTATAAAATTCAGTATTTTTTTACAAAATGCACTGTGAAAATTAGTATTTTCTTAAATATCTATTTAGATAAACGTATTAAGTGTACTTTTAATCACAGGAAAAAAACCGCTAGAAAGAGGATACAATAAGAACAGCCCAAATATAGTTATATTTTGATTTGAAATTAAAAACAGATCTTGTATGATAGTTTTAAGTAAATTTTTAAATAAAACCTTTAAAAATAAAAAGCCGGAATGATTACATTGGTAAATTCACAAATTCATATAACGTTAGTTATTAAATATAGACATTGTATATATAGAGTTAGAGAACTTTTGTACGAAATTTTTGCATATGAATAAAACGAATTACATCTCACAGACATGAAAAAAATTGGTGTAATCCATTCAGACGAGTGTCGGGTCCTTTACGTGACGTTGAGCTGCCTCCAATTTGCCGACTTTTAGGTTATTTTACGTCGAAAACTTTGATTGGAAGACATCCGAAAACGCATCGTGAATGTTAAATAAAGTCTCTTTGTTGTCGAACTGCTATCGGTTTTATTTGTATCGGCCGGTTTATATTCAAAGTTTTCTGTGACTATAAATGTGGGGGTGTAATGTTGATTGCTTGGACTTTTAGTAGATATATAGAACTTTATTTCGTTCATTTTAGTAAAATAAGCGTTTCTTTGAACGTGTCATAGCAAATTAAATTTTCAGTTATTTTTTTTACATGTATTGATTTGATAGAGAAAAAGAATTTTGTTTTATAATGCTATTAATTCAAAAGTATCTATTAAATTGCCTTGTGTTGAGGATTCGTGAAACATATACAGGATACATGGTCTTACTCCCCATTGCGATAAATATTATTTTGGCTAATTGTTCTGAGCCAGACTCGTTCGTATCCGCGAATTTCCCATAAAGATAGAAGTGATCAAAACCATGCCACGGTTGTTATTACTTATATTGGTTGACATGTTTTTATACAATGCCATTATTAGTTTATTTTGAATTATATACATGACTCTAGCTTGAAGCATCATCTACACCGTAGCGGCCTGTCGATGAATTAATACCACCTAACATGCATGGTAAATTATGCTTTAATTAGAGAGGACAGGGAGAGAAAGAAAACAATATTGTACATATGCAAATACGAAAATCCATTTAATTCGTTATCTACTTATTAGTATTAAAACAAATACAAATATATCCCACAGGACCCCTAAATTTTTCCGGGATAAAAAGAGTATATATATATATATATATATATATATATATATATATATATATATATATATATAAAGCCTATGTGTTATTCCAGACTATAATCTCTGTACCAAATTTCATCCAGATCCGTTCAGCTGTTCAGGCGTGATTGAGTAACAAACATCCAAACATACAAACATCCTTCTAAACTTT